GCGGGGCCTCCCGGCAGGGCGCCACCGCGCCGGTGCCCCTCATGGTTCCGCAGGGTGACAGGAGCAGACCTTCCCGGGCAGCAGCCACACCTCAAACCAGCGCTTCCCAGACGCCTAGCGCCACAGCGGATCTAGCAGTGCATTTCCTCAGCACTAGCGAGCCCGCCCGCCGGGGCTCTGCAGCTCCAGGCCCGCACAGTGACGCACGACGTTCGGTGATGCAACGTGAGTGTGAGTTGGCAAGTTCTTTCCAGGACTTATTTTATAGTTTCCAGGTACATTGATACATGTTAAAGACTGCACATGGAAAACACCTGACCCAGCTGCTGGCAGACATTGCCTAAATTAAATCCCTTCCCGGGGGGACACGCTCCTCAGTGTGCTGGGGCAGCAGAACATCTTTTTTGGAAACACCACACCCGAAACAACGTAATTCCAGAAAGGTCAGCAGGTTTCACAGGTAAGTGACACCCTGCCTGAAACTCCCACCTTAGCTCAGAGCTGCTCTGTGGGGCATCACCCACTACAGTGAGAACTAAATTTCCTTGCTAGGCAAAACTATCTGATGCAGCAGAGGAGCTTTCTGCCAAATCCTTTAGCAGAATTTGACATAGGGAGATTTAATTCCAAAAAGATGCACATGACAGCATTAATACACCGTCAGGCTTGGACTTTGTTGTTATCCTATGTGACCGTCCCAGAGGAAAGGAATGACTGAGCACACACTCTTTTATTGTTTTAGTCCCGACCAGAAAGCAGAGAGGTTCACCCTGTTCGTACCCAGCTTGCAGGTAAAGGGTTACAGATTCTAGGAAGTATTAAATGCAAACTTTAAAGGATTTTATTTTCATCTACAGTCACATGATGCCTTAATACCCAATGACACTAACTACAGTATCTCATTAAGAGGTCATGCAAACTCCCAAGCTAAACAAGGGATTCTTACATATTTAACATTCAAATGCAGAAGCCGAGCTAAGCCATGGAAGATTGCAATCAGAAAAGAGCTGCACTTCCTGATCAGCATAAAAGCTACAGGTAGGAAAAGTTCTTGTTCCTTTAAACTTGTAACGCTGTGCTTTCAAGGGAAGCTGTTTACTGGGCATATTCTGTTCTCTCTTCATTTTTTTAGCCTTCAGAACAATGTAAGAGTTTTATCCAGAAAATACCTGATCTCAGTCATTTCACCTGTTGTAGAATTCGTATTGTTTTTATACTCAGAAACAGAGTCAGCTCTGCGGAAAGCCAAACAAGCCAATTCTTTAAGCAATGTCTGACTACTAGAAAGCTAAAACTAATATTCCTTAAGATCGCTTAGTTATTGAACTGGGTGTGTTAAGAGTCTGTGGGGTGAAGGGGGAGTTAATATGTCTTTGATGTGTGAAGGGAAGGGATTTAGAGCTCTTCTGACTTTATTCAGACTGTAAAGTCTGAATTGTGTATTTTTCAGTTACTTCAGTGCAAATACTTACAGTCTGAATTGCGTATTTTTCAGTTACTTCAGTGCAAATATATTTTAATGGATGTGGTTTCCTCACTGAACTTAGAGAAGTTCTGATTTCCCCTTCTATAATTCAGTGCACATAAAAAATATCTTACAAAGGCTAAGCAAGGCAGATGGGAAATGTATTTCAGCGCTACACAAAAGGAAAAAAAAATTACAAACAGGGGAGGAAAGTGACCTGATGCTTTCGTTAAAACACTGTTAATCAAGAAGTAAAATTACATATAAGCACATCCGTATTCACACGGAGTGCTACAGTTTCACTGATACTGCTGTCAGCATTGCAAGAGTTCATTTTTTTCCACCTGCACCACAGGACTTTTCCAGGGCAGAATCTTTATCACAAAGCTCTTTCTTTCTCTCATGATAGTTTTTCAGTTGTTTACAGACAGTGTTTGAACCACTCACTATTTTAACCCCTTGGAAAGACTGCAGTTTTAGGCAGCAGACTTTACGTTATACTACAAGATCACTGCTGCATCACGAGGTTTCCACCCGTGGGGATTCCCACTCCATAAAAGCAGCAAGCAGGGTTTACTAATTTACTCACACAATGACTGTGATTGCAAGCAAACAATTTTCAGTTTTTCTGGTACATAATACTAGCACAAGCTAAAAAGAAATGGAAACAATATATATAGCTCTTTAGTTCAGATAAGCTCTCAACATGCTTTGCAAAAAGTACTTTTACCAGTGCTTAATGGAAATTCAAAAGGTCTGAGCCTCAAGTTTATCAACAGTGCTTTAAAAAATGAGTATCACCATTCATTTCCAAGGTGTGAACACCTGAAACATATTAGCTCTAATTTTCAGAAAGGTGAAGATGAAAATAGGCCTAGTATGTCCAGCCTGAGACATCAAAAATCCTATTATCAAAGTAATTCTCTTTCTGGCGCCCCAGCAGAGGAGCTCACAGCTACGGTGCTGGGAAGGCAGAGAAGCCAGGGCACGTAGAAAGAACCATTCTTTATTTACTCTTACATAACTGACCTCTGCACTTGTTCAGAAACTCTTGTCAATAAGGGGCTTATTTGCACAGCGACACTTAAATCTTGGGGAAGAGAGAGGAATGCACCAGCCCCCAAATAAACAGCCGTCCTATTACGCAGCTTTTCCCTGAAAAGGAACATTGCGTCTTAAGTGCTAAGAACAGCCTATCGTGGCCAATCTTTTTTAAGAAATGTTTGTACAAATTGGGCGGGTCAGGGGAAAGTAGCACTTAGTAGTTCAGCAGTTAAAACTGTTGAATGTTTAATAGGTAAAATGCCTGGGTAAGCTGGGAGGTGTGCTGAAATGGAGCACACACTGATCCGTATGGGCACTCCGCAACGAGAAAGCCCTGGCATTGAATGAGAATGAAACGTAACTCATATCCTAAAGAAAGAAATACAAATGAGACATTTGCCTTCTAGCACTCTAGTAGCTCAGATGTTCTTTATGGCAACAATTTTACAATCATTACAGTAATTTGCACCAGTTTAATTATTACTTTTTGCTGAAGAAATTATCCAACCTATTATGTTGCTTTGGCACGTCAACACAGATGCTTCATGGGAAAAACACACAATTCAAACACTTCCATTTTGGTGTACAAGAACAGAGAGAGATTCTTTCAAACATATTACTGGAAACCTGAGAGAGAATTTTGCATTTAGACCTTGGGGGAAACCAAGCCAACACAAATATCAAAACACTTGCACAAGTTGAGAAGAGTTTACACTTTACCCCAAAACCAGAGCAAGGCAAAGCATTCATCAAAAGCCAACCCTGGTTTTCGAAAAGACATGCAGGTGTAAGAAATTTGTACCAGACTTTAGTCCAAAAGTGGTTTCTGCTCAGCTCCAGGCAGGTGAGCAGAGAGCAGATCCATGAGATGAAGTGAGCTGCAGCTTCCTTGGGAAGCCCAGTAGAAGGTGGACACATTTGGGAAGGATGCATGCAATGTGTCCACAGACTGAGGCCCTTCTCTAACCACACAACTGTGCATGCCTGATCTCAGGGAAGCAACTTCCTTGGGAGCAAGGACTTGCTCCAGGGCTTTACTGCGTGAAAGCCAAGGTGCCATGTGTACCCCAAAGCACAACTGCCCCTTTCCAAAACAAGGCAGCACAGAGAGCGGGCAGGAGCAAGGGTCAGAGGCATCTATAATGCCCGCCAGCCTCTGCATGGAGAGAAATGGGGACGGAGCAGGAGAGGGACCAGCATGGGGAAGGAGCTCTCCAGATCCCACTCCAACTCATGGGGCAGGAGGGTCCAGGCTCTATCGACCGCAGGGGCCTGAGGACCAGGGGCCGCCTCGGGCATCACCGCAGTGCTGCCAGGGGCCCTTAGCAAAGTCCTTCCTGTAACGCCTGTTTGGACGGCAAGCTTTTCCAGGAAGGCAGAGTCTTTTTCTGTTTGTACAGTATTTAATTAAATACGGCCTCAATATTGTCCACATCTTCCACTGCTACTGTTTGGCTGGGGCAGGGGGATGAAGAAAAGCTCAGTGGCACACACAGCCCACTGAAACACAGTGAAACTCTCAGCCAGAAAATAAATATTCACTCTTGTACTTGAATTATCATTTCTCTGCCTAAATTTGTCCATCTGAGAATGATGTCAGAAGAGAATGCCAGAATCATCTACAACAACAAAAAAGTGGCCATAGTAAAATCTTTAGCATTTCTCTGAGCGTCCTTCCTTTCATGAGGAAAAACTTATGGTATTTTTAGCAGTGGCCAGTTGTTCCAGAAATCCCATGGGATTTCTATTTGAAACAGAACAGTGGGAATTTCTGTTTCTCAGTGGACGTGGAGTGCTGTGCAGTGTTGCTGGCAGCTGAATCCCCACTCCCAACGCAGTCCCCACATTCCGCAGGGGCTCCCTCCCCTCCCGCTGCTGCAGAAAGAGCCCCCAAAAAGCCCCACAGACAGCGATGCAACTGAATAGCTGGGCTTTGCTAGAGAAGAAAAGCATTGGCTTGCAGGATATACTGCTAATGGGAATAGGTGCAAGGTGGTGCAGTTTTTAGCTTATTGAAAGTTTAATATCAAATTAGGCAAATAAGTGAGTTTTGGTAGAAAGGTCAAAAGGGACTATTGGAAAGAGAAGAAACAGTAACACTTTTCCTGCAAGCTCTCCTCTGAGTCACTTTGCTTGGACCTACAGAGAAACCTTAAAATTTTATTAAGAACTGGAAACTAAACACTTAATCTGTAACAATAGGAAGCAGAAAAACAAAACCTGTAAATTTCCTTTTTGATGTAATCTTTTCCTGCCTTCAGTCTTTATACAAGAGCTCATTTTAATACCGACTCTTCACTTTAACCACAAATGTCTTCTGCAAAGCCACAGATGCCTTCTGGTTAAAGAAGTGTTTCCGAGTCAGTATTTTATTATTAATCCACAAGAGTTACTCTTTTTCCCTGGGGAGAGTGAGGAGTGAGCCACCTCCTTGGGGCCTGCTTTCTTCGGTGCTCTCTTGCACGCAGATGCCTCCCTCCTGCTCTGCTGGGTTACCATCATGGCACTCGCTTCCCTCTTCTTCTTGCTGCCACTTTGCAACCTGATTTTATCAGCGGGACGTTTGGGAGCACCCAGCTCTACCTCTCACCTCCAACACTCTGGCCCTGTGCAGGAGCCCAATCCAAAAAAACATTATCAGCTAGCACTGCTTTCCAGGCAGGCAGCTTGGCAGCGGTCCACTTGGGGGATTGTAATGCTCCTGATTTCGGATGCTGCTGCCCTGCCCTGCTGTGCCCATGGGCAGCGCGCGCACAGCGAGCCTGGACAGCACTGGCTTGGGAAGCAAACCTTGCTCACCTGCACCCAGTGGAAAAAGCGGTTGCTGGCAGCTCGCCGTGAGCTGAATAAAGCTTTGTTAAGGTCCTCTGTGCCCCTATTTTTGGTCTGGGCGGGGTATGGAAAAAACAATATTTACCATCGCGCTAGCTGTGCCCTTTGTGTGTTTGTTTCTGTGTTCTCTTTGTCCATGCAAACCTGGCAGATGTTGCACGGCTTAGTATTTGTGCTGCGTTTTTGTTGTCGGGATATGCATATGTCTCCACTGAACATCAGGCTGTGTCTGGGTGGCAACGATACACATTCAACTGCTGGGCACAGTTTCATAGGCAAAGATGCAGAAAGGACAAAAATACCATAAGATTTCATTTGAAATGTAAATGAGGCAGAAGCTACAGTCATCAACTCCAAACTGACGGTCTCCAGGGGCCTGAGAAGCTACTGCCATGTATAAGGTCTGACTTCTGCCCTAAAATCTCATTTTAAATTAAAATTGCTTGGGAATATTTTCCATTGAATTGGATGGACTCACTCAGAGTGTGAAAACACTAGTCCATATTGACCAGTATGCATCAAAAAGCAATGCTTGGTGCAATTGTGCAATTAATTACATTCTATAAAACTGTTTCTGTCTATGTATATGCACAGAGTAAAAACATACAAATTTGCTAATCAAAATTTGCTGATGAAAAAATTTGCTGATCAAAAATACATAATGGCAAACAACAGTTTAATAAAATACCTTTAAATC